TTAATAAATTATGTTTCACAGAAATTGCTTTCTACATAGTAAATAAAGAAAGTGTATGCCTATCGTATTTCTAGAAGGAGAGGCATATAACAATGAGTATTTTAGAAGTAAAAATTGCAACTAAACAAGTTATAAATAAAAATCTACGAGTGCTGATAAAATTGGCGATGAGTTCTTAAAATCCCTGAAGTAACTATAATAAAAAAATCACGCATAGTTCTTATGTTTAATATACTTTTATATACTTTAGAATATTTTAAAAATCTGAATATTTGACAGTGCAACAATGACTGAATTGTATTTTCAAGTATGAAAAACTACATAAAATTAAAAAAGAATTCATTATTACCCTGTTGTATTTTAGTTTTATAATAGAAATATATATATATGTTACCAGAAATTTCGGAAATCAGTCATTATCAATAATGATTAGTCAATATTAACAGTGGCTAATTAAGTAAGACAATGCTGACAATGTCAAGGCAATACATGAAATGCCTACAGATGATAGTCAATGTGGGTAATATTTCATTTATTTATTAAAATATAATTAAAATCGACAGAATCATGTATTATTATTATGGTTATTATTTATTTTCACTAAATAAACTAATATGGCACTTCGAATTACATAATGTTTTAGCTGCACGACAAGCACATCAATTATTTTGACATTTTGTTTTACAATGACACTTTTGATATCCCAGACTCCCAGCAATACTGTTATGCTCGGCAACCTCTCGGAAAGTAATTTCCTTTTCTTTCGCTGAACTTGTTGTTTCTTTCAAATCAAGAAAATTTTCATCACATGGAATTGTTAGACATAGAAAACATGGAAATTATCCATTGTCTGTAGTACTTACTGCAAACAAGAACCATGAATGAGACAGAAAGTTAAACTATAGTAAAACCCAGTCAATAATATCATTTTAGTTTAGGTAATACTATTCAAATATATTTTAAAATAAATTCCATGAGTAATATTGATATTATTAAAATTGTTATTGGGATTGATAGTTTACCAATTGCAAAAAGTAATTCAAGCCAGTTATGGCCAATTTTAGGATAAATCCGCTCTAATCGCAACTCAGTGTTTCCAATAGAAATAACTACTGCAACACAAATGAAAAACATTGACTTAACTTATCAGTCAATTACGGAAATATACACCGATTTTTCACAATGACTGGCATGCATTGGCATTACTGACATTGTCTAATCATTACCGTCATTGCCGGGATTTTCGATAATGATGGTAACATATACATATATATATTTTAAATATAAATAAATTAAAATGTACATATATATATCAAATAATTTATTTTACATTTTTAATAAAAACTTTGAAAACTAATTGAGAATAAGGAACTGTGAATGCTCGTTTGTCTTCGTAAAAGTACATTAAAGTATGTACCTACTTATTTTCTTATTAAAAAAAAAAAAAAAAAGCAATTCTAATAAAATTATTTCGAGCGATTTTATGTTGTACTATATTCACGAATATTATACAATACATAAAACCAGAATTGGGGTTCATTATTTTAATTCTTTTTTTTTTAACATTAAAAGCAAACAACTTTTCATTGTAAACAATAATGTTTGCATTTAAAGCTGAAACATTTAATTTACCTGGAACTCAAACAAAGAATAATTATCATTTTATGAACTTACTTTATTAAAAAAGTTGTAAACGAATACGCTTAGTTTACTCTATTTAATAGTGTAATTGACACTGTGTAATAACTTTGATATGATAGGCATTCTAACCCCCTACTTGCCGTGCATGTACGATTTAGGGCAGAAACTCCAATTCAGCAAATAGTGTAGAACAGGCACCGTAGCGTTCACCAAAACTATAACACGCATCAATTATGCGTATTAATTAAAATATGTTCTAGAATTGATGGTTAATGTTTGACGACACATCGAACAGCTTTTGCTGACTTGATCTTTTTGCATCAAACTCCTCGCATGTAGGCATGTGCCTATAGCATATAATAATTTGCAAGTACGCTTGCAGTATAATAATATAATTATTATATGATATTGTTAATTGTAAGAATACTTTAAAAAGCAATTTCTCCAACTATTTCTATTCAAAAATGATATGTACGTATAGCGGGTATATTTCACTTGAACAAATAAATTATAAACGTTTAGGATAATTTTCACAATAATAAAACTACATATGAAGTATTTATAAAACCGTCACTGATTTATCTAGGTAAATATAATAATTATAACCAGGATTGTAAATTAAATGCACTAGAAAATCGTTAAATATACCATTTGGATATACATGACACTGGATGTAATTTATATTAAGTTTTATATTGTACAATTAAATTAAATACGAGGTATATCCAGAAAGTAAGTTCCGTTTTCTATTTTTATCGCGTTTACGATGTTATCTTAATTACGGTCATATCAGATTATTTCATTTACTTATTTAGAACATTTTAAAACCATTCCGTGACTAGTTAGTGTACGTATGTCACGTGGCGAGTGTTTTAAAATGGATAAACTAATAGAAAATGCCGCCACATGTGAGTTACGATCTGTGATTCGTTTTTTAAATGCAAAGAATATCAAACCAGTTGATATTCATCGTCAAATTTGTGAAATTTATGGAGAAAATGCGATGAGTGATTCAATGGTAAGGAGATGGGTGCGACTTTTCAAAGAAGGCCGTACAAATGTTCACGATGAAGAACGAACTGGGCGACCATCTTTGATTAGTGATGTTTTGGTGCAAGAAGTTGAAAAAAAAATTCATGAAAACAGGAGGTTCACATGAATTTTACACATGAAATCATTTATAGGTGGCCAGAACTTCAACGAAGATGATGAGGTAAAAAAGGCTATTAGCGCATGGTTACAATCACAGGCGTCATCTTTCTATGATGAAGGGATACAAAAACTAGAACCTCGATATGATAAGTGCTTAAATAATGGTGGTAACTATGTTGAAAAATAGAGTAATACATATATTTTATATTCAAATAAAATTTATAATAAAATTTACACATTTACATGTTTTTATTGCCCAACGGAACTTACTTTCTGGACACGCCTCGTATTTCGTATTCATATGCCATACCAATTATCAAAAAAACAAATCGTTTTCCAAAAGATCAAAAACAATCAAAAACGCATCACTTGTTGTGGTACAAAATTGAGATTTGCAGTCCTCGGGGCCTCCATGACTTTTTTTTTTGCTTCTTAAAGGCTCTGAAAACCAAAAAAAAAATATATATATATATATATATATACTATTGAGAACTTCATCGTTGTGCACCGCTTTATATTATTATGTTATACGCGTGTACGGTGTATATACTACGGAGCACACACGACAATACGTGTAGATTTTTTTCATTCCGTCTCCTTGCCTGCCGCCCGTCCACACCACGAATCGTTCCTATCCTTATCCTGGCCGTTTTTTTACCGATCCGTTGTCTCCGCCCGCAATATTGTTGCGGCGGCCGCAGTGATCCGTGCGCGAGTCGCCGTTTCCCACGGGGTTAATTGAAATTGAAGACGACCTCGGGCCGCACAATTTTACATGCGTATATGTATACATTGTAATCGTAATAATAGTGTATGTGTGGCGCACTCGATCGAATCAAAAGGCGAACAGAGACAGAGAAAAAGAGACAAAAAAAATAAGGTCCATTAGTGCCTCCGAGCCGAGATCTCTGAACGTGGCAATTAAATTGGTAATAATTATTATTGTTATTATTATTACGTACAGGGCCGTAGCAAGAGGGTGGCAAGAGGTGCCTACGCCTCGGGCGCATTTACTGGGAGAGCGCAAAAATGAAAATCTTGCATTTAATGTTAAAAATTACAATGGTTAATGTCGTATATTATGTTTATAAAATCTTGAACTTCCTTCATAATAATTACAGGAATCGTTGAAAATAATACCTAATAAGCAAAATATTTTTAAATTAAAAATACATAAGTGTGAATTTTGAAGTTTCGCCCCGGGCGCAATGTTTGTTTCCTACGGCACTGATTACGTACCACTTACGAGTGCGCGCGCGAGTATAGAAAAAAATCACTACGCGATATTTATGTTATAATAAACCAGCAGAATTATCCGGTCTCGTCCGGGAGATCTGTTGTAACTGATTCGATATAAAAAAAATGTGTGAATGCAAAATTGTTAATACCGTTGCTAGAATCGAAGTTTTCACCGACCGTCTGGCTGCTGATCGTTTTTATACTGTATTCGTTTTTCCAGCTACAACTATATGAAATAAACATATCAAACATTTGATCGTTCTCAAGAGATAAAATAACCAGAAATTATATAATCATAAGGATGTGTACTACGAGGAGTATTATTCAATCCGAGAATGTTTATATTTTTATTGTTAATCATCTTGTGTTATCATTTTCGCGGCGATGCGTACCGGTGCGTTGCGCTGTTGTAGTATCGATTCAATATTTATAAATTATATTCTATAAACCTTTAGTGGTGTGAACCACTGACCAAAATGACTCACAGAAAGGTAAGTTTGAATGAAGGTACGTGAAAGCGGAAAATTATAATAATAAGAAAAATGTATCTTAAATGAATGGCACTCGACAGAGCAATAAAAATAAATGAATAAATAGTTCGACGGAACACAGATACAAAATCGCACGATCAAATATGGAAGCCGTGGACCAGAATACAAGTGCAGGAGACAAAAAATAACGTACGACAGATTCGGTGGACGGAACGGTGGGGGGAGTTAACTCGATCGAGCAATCGATGTAACCGTCGACATTCGAACAGTCAGGTTTTACAAACCTTAAAATACACAAAGAACATCTATAAAATAATTCGACAGGAAAATAATAATAAAGTACATGAAATCGGGTGACAGTTGGTAACGTGTGATAGTGGGGCTACACACCGTATCCCCACTAACCTTGGTGTCGATCGGCGAAAGCGATATCTCTCCGTGGACGCCACTGTTATCATCGTGCTTAAATACCCGTTATTCAGTGTTTTTATATTTTCGGATTATGTTTCGGTAAAAGTTATAGTCATGTTCTCGGTACCATAAAGTTTCCATAAGTTCTTGTGTTTTGTTGTAGTGTGGTGACACTGAGGTATCGATTTCTCGTGAAACCGCGTTGTCTTATGTCGTGTTCCTGTTCGACCGTCAGGTATTTATCGTTCTAGCAACTATTTTGTTGCTTTAATTAATAGAGTTGTTTTTTAGGCACGGCTATCAGCGATCATTGTGAGTAATGTGGTTTTAAATTGTGTTCTGCGATTTTTTGCAGACACGTAAATTCGTCGTTTAAACGGTCGGCTAGGTAGTCGTACGCACGCGTACTGTAATAGTTTTTTTAATTGTTGAAGTTTATTACGTCCTACGGTGCAGGTCGCGTGAAATGAAATCCATCACCTAACGCTGCGCCTATTGTGAGTATGGTCGACCAATAGTGATTATTTAGTGTACAGACCGACGGGTCTATTGTGTGCCAACTAGGAAATTATAGTCAAAGTTCATATTATTGTGTCGCTGTAGGGCCAACAAGTGTATTTATTTATTATTTATATTATATTTAGAGTGGACCACCCATTTTATTATTACATTGTTATAGTATTTTTAGCTATGCCACTGTAGGACAAACATTATTTATTTATTTTTATCATTATTGTTTGTGCGCCGTGTGGGTCACATTTGTGTTATTATTTATTTATTGTGCCAAGTAGGAAATTAATTATATACTGTATTTGTGCCATTTAGGCAACTACATTTTTTATATATATTTACAATTTTATATGTTAAATAATCACGAACAATCATAATTACACACTGAAAATATTTATTATTATACTCCACGGCGAACAAGCCAGGGAATAACAGCCCTTATACTATTGTAGGGCACGGAAACTATTATAATCGTATTGTTTACAGTTTGACCTCGTTGCTTACAATTTTTATTTATGATTTGCACAAATATATGTATTTAGAACTTAATAAGAATAAATTATTGAAATGCAACTGATTATACGCAGTTAATTTTTATGTCACATTATTGCAGTATGATACATTATTAATAATAATTAAATAATTGTAATAAATCAAAACATTTATTAAGTACATATCTAGAAATTATGTTTAGCAGAGTGTTTACGCGAGTATATATTGATAAGTTTGTTTAAAAAAACGTCAATCTAGACAGTATTTAATGATCTTAGATTACATTTTAATATAATTTCATTAATACATTTCAGTGTATTAAAATAGGTAATATAATTAAACTTGCATTTGTTTAACTTTTAAGATACTGTTTTTGTATCAAAGAAGCTTTTTGAGAATCCTGTCACCCACTTAAACCGATGCCTGCATCAGGCGGAATGTACTACATCTTATAAATGTTCACATTCAATTGAAAACAAAGATATAGGAACTTATTTAGTTGCACTTTGTTTTGAATATTATGTGAATTTTCTTCCGCGTAAAAAAAAAAATATACCCATTTTACTTATTATATTTTATAGTTTTGTAAATTAATCATCAATCAGTTTTTTTTAACCCCTTTCTGCATGATTTTGTACTTTTGACTGGAAAAAAAATCTACTTCATTAAAATATTTTCATGATTATAAGAAAAATAGTAAAAAAAAAATTCAAGTTAAAAGTTTGGAAGTTATAATGTAAAGTTTATTGTGTGAAAAATATGGCAAACCATGCATAATATGATAGTCACTTATCAATATTTTTGTAAGTGCCATGTTTGACACACCATGCAGTATCAATAATTATAAACATTTGTATTTGTACCATTTGTGGTAAATTATACATTATCAACCATTACCAAAAATGTTTCTTATGTTTTATGTATAACAGCATTTTTGGAATACTTAACTACAAGTGTTAAAGGTAAGTAGTTAAAGGTAGCAGCGGAGTCGTCAAGACTTACATATAATGGTGGGAGGGGGGACTCAAATTTTTCCATTAATTCATGCTCAAAATGTACAAGTAAAATTTTTGGAAATATTTAAATCAGGTGAATCTTATATATTTGTGGTTTTTTTTTATTTTTATCTAATGCCGAATCCACATAAAATCGATTTTTGTGTAGTTATTTTTTAACATCTGTCTGTGTTTTGAAGTTATGTTAGTGTTTTATTTGATTTTTCACTAAGTATGGACTCGACAAAAAGCCTTATTCAGTATTCACAGCCACACGTAATTTGATTTCATAATAAAATGATCCACATTAAAAAAAAATTGCAAATGTATAACTCATATATAATCGATTCCTTAAATACAGATTTCGAAGGGACATTTCCCCTCCCCCCCTAGAATATGCCTATGTTGTAATAATAAATAAAAGATATGTTATTAATTTGTTTTATTTACTGCCATCAGGTATAGGTACTATGTACACGTGAATAGAATGAAGTCGAATTAATTTTAACCTCTAATGGAAAAATTAACTACGTGAATATTTTGAATACTAGGTATAACATAATTTATAAAGCATACTTTGCAAAGTCAAGTCATAAGTGCATGATGTCCCAAATTTGGCACGTACACGGATAGAATTGTATCTAAACAAATTATTGATGCATAAATATGTATTTAATATGATTGGATAGAGCGTAAAATTTTGAATTAGTTCATATTTTTTTTTGAATGAAATTCGTACGTTTAAAAATGATTAATTGTTTGAAAACTACAACGTAACTGATAACATGGTTATTATTGTATCAATGATATTACTTGTAATAGTCAACACAATTTTAATCCTAGAGAGTAGCATCATACATAGTTATTACATGCCTTTTTGTGCCGAATCTTAAATAAGTTACCTAAATTATTAACTACGCATTTTATCATGTATGCAATGATATAAATAAAAAACAAAAAATACAGTAATACAATAATATTAGATTTTGTAAGAAAAAAATAAATATTATGTAAACAAAATGTAAAATGTTAACAGATAATGAAATAATTATAGAAAAGAAGTTTAAGAAATTAATCATTTTTATAGTATTTTAAATCATCTTCAATATCGTTGTTTATTACATAAACATGTAAATTTCATGTTCGGTGAGCTGGTGTTAATTTCGTCATCATGATGTTTTTCATCGAATCTATAAAGTATTAAAACAGATAATTTTATTTTATAATATGAATTTAAAAATATTAATATTTACCCTAAAAACACCATTATCATTGACAAGTGGTTTGCTTTCAAAAGAAGCTTTTGATCTGATTTGAATGTTTTCGAACAATACTGTATGAATTATCGATAAAACTAAATTAGTTTGATCGTTTTTCAATAGACGTAGTATAATAGGAGATAACTGTTTAACTATCCTGTAAATATTAAGATTTAATTAGATTTATTGTATGTTGGAATTTAATATGAGAAACAAAATTGGAAAAAAAATTTGTTTATTACTTAATTAATTATTTGATTATTAACTATCTTATTAATTAGTTTTTTATGATAAAATTAAATAATGTTTATAATTCTACCGTGATTAAATATTTTGAAATTATAAGTTAAAATATTTTGATGATGTGTGGTATCGATCAACATCCTCCGTATAAGATAAGAGTATACATTATTATACAATATAATATGTATGTATAATATTTTTAATAGTATAATTACATTTCTACATCAAATCCGTTTCTTCTACGAAATCGTATAGTAAATCATAATAGTCACTTTGATGAATTTAGTAATTAGTTAAATGGTAGTTTTTCTTTTTGTCTATATTTAAAACGAGATTCTTTTGTAATCGATTGATCTAGATCTGAAACTAAAACCGACAAAATTCATTCATTCAAATTCAACCTGTTGTTATCGCAAACTCCAGTTTTCCAAAGATATTAAAATTAGAGATGGGAAAAATACATCGATTTTTTAAAAACACCGATGTTTTCGTTTGATATATCGAAACTCTACATCGATGTTTTTATTGCGATGTATTGAAAAAAAATCGATTTTTTCTAATCCGAAATCTGATATAATGTATTTATTTAAACATTTTTTAATTTATACCTAACATACATACATATAACATAAATACAATTTTTCTTAAAACTTATTAAGGTAAACATCGATATTTTTAAACATCGATGTTCTTGTCGAAAATATCGATCACCAAATGTAAATACATCGGAAAATCGATGTTTCAAACTTTTTGCTCATCTCTAATTAAAATTACTACCCTAATTTGAATTTCAACGAATTCACAAACATCAATACGAACATGATATTAATATTTAAACTGATGGCTCATTTTCATCGATTTTAGTCGTTTAATCGTTTTATACCTCCGAAACCTCTAATCAACTCCTATTGGTTTTGAGTAATCAATAAAAGTATATGCAATATTTGAAGCTCAGTTTAGAATAATATACCTTCATAACTACCTTCATGAATCCATTTGTCGAAGTACATGTCATATCGTGTATTTTAACGGTTAGTAAATTATTTTGTCATTATTTTGATTACAAGCTTGATCTCATACCGGGTACATATAAAACTACCGAACGATGCTCTTACAAAAATTGTTCATTGTATATTTCATGTAGAAATATAAAAATGTTAAACGATTACCTATCTATTTAATATAATACTTTTATATCTTTAGAACGTTTTTTTCATGAAATTACTGTTTATAATGTATTAGTTCTTATAAATGATTCATGAAAATTTAAAATGTTCCTTAACTGAAATATGTCCTTATCTATACAATATATAATTGATTATAATTTATAAATAGTATTTACTATCAGATATCAATTATATTATATTCTTCCGGTTGTGTTGAGGAATCGTCTATCAGTTGAGATATTGGCTCTTTAGGAATTCTTCAACGTTTTTGAGATAATCGTAAAAAGCAAAAAGATTATTTCCTCTTATCCAATGCACACGACGATTAACAGCTACCCCTACGGAAATTACAAATAATGTTATCATTGGTGTAAAGATCTTCCAAAAAGCACTATTTTATCTATATACATAGTACACTTTTTACAACTTAACATCAGAAAACAAAAGCACTTTCTTTTGTACCCTGCCTAAGTTTCTATTATAATTATTCGTATTCATCTAAAACAAATTATCAAAATACAAAATTAACTTGCAAGTGTGAATTGGATAATAAACCAATGATTATAGTTATGCCTAATTATTGTAAACAATTAATGATAGAAAAAAATACGTACTCCAGGACCTAGGAATGCCAAAATTGAATTTGGCTCTCTGTCAATACATATTTGTTCTGTATTAATTTTATTGAATATTTTATTCTTTAATTGGTACAGCTTAAAAAAAAAAAAAAAAAATTATTCGGATATTGATTTCTCATAACACGATTTGTAAACTTACATCTGACAATTCATGGTCTTTAGTTAACCTCAATAAAACTTTCGGCGCCACCCTACTTGCCAATTTGGTTAACTTCGCCATTTCTTCTTAGTCATGGTCACTGGTGGTGACGTGACGATGCCGTCTGCCCTCTGCAGCGAATGGGCATCGACAATGAAGTTGCCCACCAGGAAGACGATTTGGTCTTCGATCCCGTAAACACGAGCGTTGTTCCGGGCGAACGCAATTTTTACCGGGTCACTGTCCATCGCAATTACTGTACAAAGAACGCGAACGTAATGTTAATATATATTACTATATAATACACATAAAAACTTGTTGAATAATATGAAAATAATTGTATTTTCATGTTTTGAGCAATATACCTTTGCGGCAGACCATGGCCAGTTGGATCGCGATCGCACAGGAACCGCAAAACGGGTCTATTACAGTACCCAGCGACTTAAACCGGGAAGCCATCAGTTTTGTCAAAACTTCTGGAGGCCCGGAGTAAAGGGTCGCTGTAAAAATAGTAAAATTATGAAAATACAAACATAGACGATAATATAAATAAAGACGGTCGTCTGTCTAACATACCTGGGTCTGCCATGATACCGTCGTTAAATTTTGAAAACTGTGCGAACCGCTTTTCCCACAACTTGTAGGTGACGTTTAATTCCTGGGAATAGTACGTCGTATTTTATTAAAATTGTTTTTAATTTTAATTTATTAATATCCTGTTTATTAGTATCGTGTTATATGTATTTTTCGTTTGGTGTTACACTATTAGCGACTGTTTTACTGTGATCGACTGTTGCGGATGGTCAACGGCAAACTATTTTACCGCCCTCAAATTCACAAGATATTGAAATGATAACTTTTTTTTTTCAAATCTATTAAATATACACGTGTGTAATTGTGGAAAACACATTTTGGTCCCGTCAAATGAAAGGGAGTTTCCCGTTTCTGCCAAAAGTCATTTCCATCAAAAAAAGTTTGGAAACCATTGGTTTTAATTTTTAAGCAATATTGAATAGACAATAATAATAATTATAATAGACATTTGTAATTTATACATTGAAAATCATCGATAATAACGGTTAATAATAATAGTACACTGTTCAATATACTGCATCATAGTATATTTATAATTCGCACACAATAATTATCTGACAAATGTTAAATTCTTATATTTCCGTTCAGTATCTGTTCTTTTTATCACCAGAACACTTTAACGTTCTTACTTACTTACCGTTCTTAAAATGGAATTTGTTGCAAGTCAAAGAGGTAAAACAATATCGATTTTTGATGGGTTTAAATATGTTTTTGGTTATACGTCACAAACAAATGTAACTAGGTGGAGATGTTTTATGAAAAATTGTCGGCCTAATATTTTTGAAAACGAAAAAGTAATACTTGCAACGAAATGTGCGTTTTTTATCTACGAGTAAAATAAATATATTTATTTAATTATTTATTTATTTAAGACGATATGTGTTTTTTCAAATCTCTATCGAAACAATATTTGATCTATCCTTGTTTTTTACTTTATAAATAGTTAAATAGAATGAACATATTATAATATGAAATTATGTAATACTTTAAAACTCTAATATAATTGTATCTATATTCGACTAATATATTATTATTATCTATTTGTAGTAGAATTTTTAATGAAAGAATATGTAACAATTGTACATGGTTCCTAAACGTCTTGTCACAAAAATAAATTTTGGCGGAAACGGAAATTATATTTTTTTCGTTTCTAGTGATATAGGGTTTTCCGTAAATCAAGGAACCCGATTTTTGGCGGAAAAGGTACATTCCCAATTGAAAAGCATAAATGTTAATGTTCTAAAATTATACCGTGCATTATGTTAAATCGATTCGTATCGCGTACGTGAAAAATATTCAGAATCCGGAAGGGTGAAGGGGCTCGTTCACGTTAACCGTTAAACATGACAGTAAATAATTTATGGTAAAGTGGTTTTGCACTCACTTTTGCACGATTTTCTTCCATTTTTGGCAGAATGTAAGGAATGATTTCGTCTTCGTCGTCACCAACTTGTTCTACGGTCACACGGCCACTCGTCGCCGAGTCGACCGCGTCACAAATCGATGCTGAATGCGCCTCCTCTCTATCTTCGGTGATGTCGGACGCAACTTCACCAGCGAACGGGTAAGTCTGCGTGCACATGTCAACGATCACTTTGGAGGAGTCGCCGCACGCAAAGTCGCGTTTGGCCACTCGAACGGTGACGGACACTGGGTCCGTTTGCGGGCCGCAATCCTTAAAGGCTGCGAGGCTGAGAGCCGTCCGACCACCGATGTCATCATGAACCAGAGGTCCATCTCGCGGTTCTCTCTGTCCTGCGCAGCAACCGCGATGCATGAAACCTCGACGGACTAAAGCGGGAAAAATACGAGCGGGATACGTTAAGAAAACCCGAACGGAGATCGAAAGTTGTTGTAGCGCAAATAGAACCTCGACCTTACGTACCATGGTCTTTAGTTAACCAAACCAGGAACCAGTGGCCATCCGCATATAAAACAGAACGCAATTAATTTCAATCGCTCGTCGTCCTTGTCCACCACCTGAGCAGGAGCACTACGGCGATCAGAACTGAAAAAACACATAAATGTCATGAATCTCACGCACGGGCGATGCGTTATTGTCGTACAGTACGACGTGTTACGATACTGTCGTGTAGATTCGTTTACCTGATAGTCAATCCCATTTTGTAGAGATGAGTTGATGATGTCGATGTTATTGTTGAGTTCACACTTAAGATACTTTGAAGCAAAATCAGAACAAGAAATCGTTGTGCTGTTACGCAAGGCAATGTCGAATGTAATCGAAATTATTTATTCAACAGTTATATTTAAGTTGCAATATATTTGCCGGGTAACGTTTAAAATAGGTTACGTAATCCATATCGTAAATGGCCAGTGTAGAAAAAAAAACTTTAAATCAAATTTATTAGTTAAATAATAAATAAAATGTTATTCTTTCGGACTGGATGTATCAAACTTCGCAATTTAGTTCTTTCTAAAAATATTTTACCCCTTAGATACCAGTTTAAATTTTTCAGGTCAGTAAGCACCACATGGTTTTTAATTAATTTAACCTTTTCTTGGAAACGATTAAGATTAAATAGAATATAATATAATATATTATTATTCAGATATCTGTTTAGGTAGAAAATCATACAACTATTTTTACAAATGGTTTGTTTTATTACAAACGTCGATGGTTATAAATATGAGCTGTCCATAAACAATGTTAGTTTTTTTTTTCATGTGATGTTTGTGTAATGCAATGTAAGTGTGTAAGTAGAGTAATTAACTCTGAATGAAAAAAGAGGATAATGCAATTATTTGTGTTAATTTTGGTATTATTCTCCGTAGTAATTTAATATTTTAACTAACCATAATGCCTGGATCAGTGGCGTCGAACCCATTCATAAAGTGTGGTAATGGCCACATCTTATTTTGGAGGGTGGATAGTCGGAGAACATTAAAAGTTTAAGTTGATGATAAGAACTTTAAACAATTATATGTAAAAATTAATACAAATAAAATAATTAGGAGATCTAGTCTTGATCAGAATATTTTCTAAGAAATTTCTAACATATTAATAATTCTTTTAGGATCTAGGACATTTTTCCGCGACCGTTTCGTAAAAAAAATGTTTATGATTACCTGTAAAACAATTTGATCTATATAGTTTAACCTTTTATTTTAATGTTTGTTAACAATGACTTATAATGTTATTAAATATTAATAATGTTTTATCAGGAAAATGTCCTTTTTTTTTATTCATCGTTTCATAGTTTTAAAAGATACTTTAAACTATTTATAAGGGGGGGCTGTTCTATCTCCCTAATACTCCCCCACCAAATGCCATAGGTATACACAAAAAGCAAATTATTTAAATTTTTTAAATTTATTGATTAACTAAATTAAACTCGTTATTGTTGTTCTTGCACAAATGTGTAGCAAATACAATTTAATTTTTAACTAATAGCATTCACTTACGTACACAATAATAAACCAATATAAACCTATATAATTATGTAACATAGTATAATCGACAATACAAAATAATTACAATAAAGGTGAGTATAGTAAATAATAATTTATTGAGTAGTGCGAAAAATCAACTACAAATACATTATAATTATTAGATCGAAAAAATAACGGTAGTTCCTGTTGTATTATAGACTATAATTTATATTAGTTCTACGTGATTATTTTAACATTTGACATTAACTTTTATTTTACCTTTTGTGTGTTTTTAGTTGTTTATTTATTTCATCGTTGAAAAAGTTAAAAATCATTATACAGTGATAAAGTATCTTATAGTTATGTTTATAATACCACGGCCAATGTGTACCTCGTCATCAAATAAATCATAGGTAATTACCTATGATTTACCTATGTTATATGCTGGTATTACGATGAGTCTTACTTCTATGTATTAATCAATTTAATTAATACCCAATTAATTATGTTATAATCAATGGTTTAACAGTGATAATTTAGATTTACATTACGGATATCCATCTTAATTATCTAGAAAATAATAGGTTTTTCAAAATTAATTTTTTTTATTTTTAAAATTAAAAAAAATTGTTTCATAATAACGTGTTTATTAAAAACGAAAAGCATTTATTAATTTCATAGTTCTTGTCACATTATATCAATCCATAAACGTAGATCGTACATACAAAAAATGTTGTTAATTTTTACTTCCTAAAAGTGTTGGTTTTCGGGACTTAGTTTATATTACACCCTTTGAAAAAATCTTCTGTCCAAGAGGAGTATGCAAGCGCATAGCTGCTTATAGATAAACGGAAATTAAAGATTCAAATTCTACTATGGGTCCGTGGTGGTGTTAAAATGTATTTGATTTAAATTGAAGGACATATCAAAATTTATGTTTCACAACTCAAAAACTGTCAATCAGAAATGAACACATGTAAAATTTCGAAGATTAAGGCTTGAAAAAATATAACCTTATTGTTCAGTGTTGTACATAGATAACCAAAATATTATCTAGATAAGATAATGGATAATACATTAAAATTTCATCTAGATAAAAAATAGATAAACTAGATAAAAACATAATTTTAAACAGTTTCATCATTTAGAACTTACATTTGTAAAATGGTTATTTTTCTACGAATAAAAAAATTAATTATTAATTATGATTATATTGGTTTGAAATAATCTTAATTAATTTTGCTAATTTAGACAGAAAACAGTACATATTTTTCATTATCCAAATTTTTTAACATAAATATTTTAAGATATATAAATAAACTATTTTTATTTATTTTTATTTTATGTTATTTATCAGTTTTCAGATCAAATTAATTTATTATAATTTAAATAATGTATAATCAAAAATGTATCTAGTTTCATAATTTTTATGATTTAAACATATACCTAGGTATTTATTGGATAGAAATCTACATAATACTTTCTATAGATGCATGTAACTCTTCTTTATTATTTTGTAATATTCAAATTTAATTTAATGATCATCATTGATGACTCATCACTTTGTCTTCGATTTACGCGTAGTTAAATGCAAATAAATACATAATATATATAAATAATACAATACTTTACAAATTAATTTTATTGGATTTAATACACAACAAAATTTCAAATGTCTTGTCATCCAAATAGTTCTTCTTGGTGTTAATATTTGACTTAAGCTGCCAAACAAGCACTCGACAGATGCATATGAAGGAAGTTATATTTATGAAACTCAAGTT